TCTTCCTCATTCCACGATGTGTAATAATGAGGTATTTGACCCCTCTTGATAATGGCCAGTACCTCATAGGCACACTCCAGTTGCAAATATCACAATCCATTAATTCTTTAAAGCAGTGATGTTTTACCTTGCAGGTACCTATGTTGATTCTGACGAGATCCCTGCAACAAAATGATTCAAGTTGAGTATACTCTATATCTAAATTGTCATTTATCCTTTGCCCTACCATCTCATTATATTTATAGTTCAACGACATCAGATTTAGGAGGTGGAAGATTTTGTTTATCTTTGGGTAGATATGTTCTTCAAACATAAGATCCCAATGACCGAAGTTGTTCTTCAAGAATTTGTTTGAAGGCAACATACAATAAAAATATTTAACAGCGTACTATCTCAGCAAAGTCAAAATTCAACACACTAACATACAAAGTAATAAACAAATTATTATAAGTCCTAAACTTACCAAAAGCTAAAAACATATCTAGAGGGAACACAACACCCCCCACACTGACATATGCAATCACATCTTTATAAGCAAGGTGTCCTTTGGATCCCTACAAACAATCAGACCTCTCACCCTTCTGCTTATTATGATGAATCTTCTCATGTCCTATGCTTGGCTACATACAATCAAACCTCTCTCTTTCCTGCTTATTATGATGAAGCTCCTCCCCCACTTTTTCATTCACTGAATAGCTCTTTTGAATAGTCTGATCATACATTTTAGGATAGGTTTTTAAATCGGCCTCCACACCTTCTTAGGATGTTTCATTTGTTGCTGAAATTTCCTTTCTTTCTCTAACCTAAGATTAAGGCATTGAGACTTATCATGTCCCATACCTCTACAAACAGGACAAAATACTGGTTTCCATTCAAAGTCCACTTTCTGTTTCACATGATGCCCTAACTCATCCAAGAATTCAATACATTCTACAAGCTCACTATTTATCTTCACCTCAACTAGTAATCTAGCATAGGCAACCAAATCCTTAGTTGTAGTTAGAGACTGGCTTTAATTCCCCTATTGTGTTTTAATTAAGTTTTAAGATCTTAATGTAAAACACTAAGTTAAACTATTCATTTATGGAGTAATTTTAACTTTTCGCAAATCATTATTCCATTTCTACTAAATTGTTGTTTATAATTAAATAATGAGTCTATTCGATTTGAGAATATTCAAAATAGGGCATCAAGACAATGTCTTGGATAAAGAAACACCTATTAAGTGAACATTGAATATCATATCGAAACCATCCTTAATCGAGGTCATTTTAAAGTTGGAAGACTAATGACCGCGCGAAATTTGTCTAATATGATATATAGCACCGTTTCTTGTGCTACAAGGACAAGATTGCCATAAATCATTTGCATAGGTATTAGTTTGGAACTATACAGGATCAAGCTATGAGAATACTTTAAGAGATTTAACAATCGTCATAAGTATATTACTCATTATGGCTATCAGAACCTCTTTCCTCAACCATGAGTATTGTTAGTTCTCTTGTTTGAGTACTAGTCCATTTTGATGTTGTCAAACGTCCGTCGTACATGGGGATTATAAAGGCAACACTCAGGCGGTTAGGGCCTCTTAGTAAGGGAAGCTAACAATGCAAGACTGGGAATGTCCCCCTGTTAACAGTAGGGAACATGTCTTTGTTGTTTACAAGGACTCTCGAAAAGCGAGATTATGAAAATGCATGGCCGTCCTCTGATAGATTTTACAAATCATCTGCTTATTGACAGTACAACTCAGAGATCGAGAAACACTTCTGGACGTAATAAGGATGACGATGAATCTTACCTTATAGTTCATGAAGAGGCATTAAGTTACATAGGAAAAAGGGAATACACATACAACACAGTTGTCTGGAATGGCAAGTGGGAGATTGAAAGGAATGGTATCTTGTGAATAAGTGTATTATTCTAATAGAGGGTTCGGAATTAATTAAGAAAGCTAGTTATTCAGTGCAGTTAAGTGATCGAAATGCCTAGCTGGAGGCCGTTTCCGATCAGTAATATTATAGTATAATTAATACTACAACTTACTCTTTACTGAACCCTTCGGGTCACACCCAACTGTGTAACTAAACAATGGCGACGAATTAATCCGAAGGAATAAATACGTCGATAGAGATTTTACGAACTAATAAGTCGAATTCCAAGCTTAGAGCGTCAAAGTCGAGCATCAAGTTAATTTTAGGAATCGACGATACAAGAAATTAGTTAAACAACGAGTCAACGCTAAGCCGTAGCCTTGCATTGGCAAGGATGTACCACAAGCCTAGCAAGCATATGCGAGCTAAGCCTGCTAGTCGAGCATGCATGCAGGCTGGTCCGCCCAGCCGCTCACACGCTAAGCACCAACACGCATTATGTGCTATTGAGATGCCTAACCTTGCCACAAGCTTGCGTACTGGCATGCAAGCAGGGATAGCATCGGCCAGCAAGTGCCAGCCAACCCCGCAAGCAAGGCCAGCAGCCAGCAAGGCTCACTAGGCCTTACGTGGGATAGCAGCGACAAGGCAACAGCAGCCCGCAAGTGTGCGAGTCTTGCTGGCAATGCGGGAAGCAGCATGGGCCTAGTTGGCTGGCCCATCAGAGCACAAGGGCTGCCAGCTTGGCACGGCTTGTTTCTAAGGGAAGGACGACCAACTGGCCGGTTCGTATTGGGGCTAAGTGGTGGGAGGTTTTCCTTGGGGAGCAAGGGAGGAGTGGTCCTCCCCTTGTGGTCCTCACCTACCCTTCCTCTCCTTTTGCCACTTGTTGTTTGCTAATTGAATTGTGAAATTGATTTAATTTGGAATTAAATTAATCACTCATTTTCTCATTTTAACAACTCTCCCACATGGAAAGTAAATTGAAGTTTTTGGGAGTATTGCCCTATAAATACCCACCTTGGGTATTGGGATTAGTCACTTGAGTTGAACTCAATAAGGTATCTCCCAAAAGTGAGAAAGCCTCTAATTTGTAATACTCTAGTTTATTTTGGTCTAGCCTTGTCTAAGCTACGAGGAAGGGACCCATTTGGGCGAGAATGTGTGAGATTGAGGAGGGCTTGCACTCGCGGGTCTAGAGGTTTTCCGTGTTCTTGCACGGGGTTCGTGAGAAGCACGCGTCAAGGGAGAGCTAGTCTTATTCTTACTTTCTCTATCTTCTCTTTATGTGTTTATGCTTTCAATAATTGTATGTTATTTTGTTTAGTTGTAATTATTATGTATGTGATCCATTTGCGGGTTTTGTTTCGCGCGGCGTCAGACACCGCAAAACCCAACATAACTCATTTTCGTAGGAATCATAGTCAATTTTAGCAACTAAAGACAAGTCATTTAAACCCCTAGATCGCCCTAGAGGACGAGTGATGCTCTCGTAAAGGTTTCCTAAGAGATTAGCCTATAACTCTCACAAACCAAACAAATAAGGCAAAGCATGAAAAACAAATGCTCTTGAATGGACCTTTGCAAATGAACAAGCACAAATGGATGCTAGTCTTTCTAAACAATAGAGGAGTGCACGTTTCAAGATATCCAAGGTTGATTGAAACATAAAATATGCTAAGCGTAGAGAACTAGTAAGACACAATTCACCTTCATCCCAAACGATCTTAGCGCATTCTCCCTACTAGTTTCAAATCCACCTCTAGTGAGCATCTCAATTATTCCTTAAAGGAATCGGAAAAAAAAAAAAAAAAAAAAAAAAAAAAAAAAAAAAAAAAGAGAGATTTAGGGCTACTCAACATCTTGACTATGCAAACCCCCACCATAGGCTTGACTCCTATCTCCCTCCAATGACCTGTTATTTAACCATAAGGGTTAAAAGGTCCTTGAAGGGTTGCAACGTAATGGCAAAAAGGGTAAAGGTAGGCTAAAATTTAAAACTGGGTGGTATACCGAATTTGTGAAGCAAAGGGTGATCAATTCTCAACATTATAATCAAGATTTCACCCAGCTCAAACAAAAATACCAACACCCCCAAACTTATTCAAAACAAAGTCACAATCATATATACAAAAAGCGTAGACACGCTTCCTTCTAGCTTAAACGGAGCATTGTCCTTAATGCACCAAACCATGGAAATCATGGCTACGCCAAAACATTTTTGTGCTTTTCATTTTTTTTTTTCTTCTTTTTTTTTCAAAGCATTTTCTTTTGGTTTGCTTTGTTTTTTCATTTAATTGTTTTGTCCTTGCCTCTTTTGACTATGGACGACTTTTTCAACTTTGCATTTGCTTTTATTCGCAAACTTATACACAATACATACTTGCTATACAAAATGAGCTCATAACTTCAAACTATTGCACTTATAATCATCAAACAAACTTATCACCACTAGCTTCAGAAAAACCAAAGATGAAAAGAATGAAACAAATGGTAAGTAGTCTAGTAGAAGGTACAAGCCTCAAATGGTTAGCAATGAGGCAAATGTAAACCCAAAACCAAAAATATAAAATCGAAACCTAGAAAAGCAAAAATAACCACCCTGAAAAGATGCCTTTATCCTTCCCTAATGATTCGGTCGCGATCTCTGGAGATAAAAGTCAAGTTCTAGATAAAGTAAGCGATAGCCAAGGATCCATGTGCCACTCATGCAAAATAGGTAGAAGGCTAGAGAAATGAAACCTCACATGGTTGTAGAGAAAACTCACTATTGGCTTCAAACACTACTACATTTTTGATCTATTGCAACCCCTAAATCCGTTGCATTAGGTATCAAAATCCGTTGTATTAGGCCTAATGCAACGGCCATGTACCGTGGCATCTTCTGGCGTTGCAATAGGCCTAATGCAACGACATTTGACACCTAATGCAACGGCGACATTAATCCGTCGCATTAGCTTAATACCTAATGCAACGACATCATTTATCCGTCGCATTAGATTAATACCTAAAACAACATAATACTGAGACCTAATGCCACGGCAGAGACTATATATTATAATTATTATTATTTTTTTTAATTATTATACATGAACCAATATATATGTATATAAATCAATTTAGATATGACAAAATAAAGGAAAATTTTATTGAATTTAAAAATTAAGAGTACATAAATATAATGTCACACTTAAAAAAATTACAAGTTCAAATAACACCTATAACTACATGTATATTCCTTAAAACATAATTTTGACATAAGTTTAGAGCTAATAGTATGAAAAACTTAAGCAGGTATTTCTTCATGGATTGTTGAAATTCTGTAATTGGCCCCTTTTATCCTTAGTCGTCTACTCAATGTCGTGCAGCCTACCAGCTTCCACAAACAGTACTCTCCCAGCCATCACAATTGTATCATGTCGATGAGCAAACCAAAGCCTATAAAAAACAATCATTAGTTTTTTAAATAATCGGATTGAAAACAGAAAATACAAACAGATATTATTACATCAAATTCCACATGAAATTGGTTCAACCACATGTACTCAAATGTTCAAGAATTTACCTTTTAGCTGCATGGGAGCTCACGTAAAAGAAAATGCACGGAAACGTAAGAACTAAAAAGATTAAGAAAATATAAACCCAGACAATGCAACGAACTAAAAGCCACGTTATTCAGTATTTAGTAGTTCTGCATAAACTCCCCACTCAGCACATTGTTCATAAAGCGATAGTAAAAATGCTCATTTGCATTTCTTAAGAAAAATTATGTGCACTAAGACAGGTAACCAGTAAAGAAATCTATGAACATATTAAATTTATGTCGTCCTGTAAAGAAATTCAAGAGCTTAGTAACCACTAACCAGTGGCTAGCAATAAATCCTTGAATACAAATCAATGCAGCCACGATCAATAGAACAACAAAAAAAAAAAAAGCAATATTTTCTTACTCTATCAAACTATTATAAATCAGGCAAACACACCGTATATCATGCCAAATCATGAGCATCAAACTCAGCAAGGCACAAGGAACAGAGATTAACTCATCTAGAAGCTAATATGATAAAACATCATGCCTCAGGTTGTGCATATGTAGTACAGAAAAAAGGATCCCTGCTCAACCTGCCCCCACTGAGATTTAACTTGAAAGAAGATAGAGCATATTAAATTAAACGATACAGATGCTCTCCCCTGTACAGCAACTACATATTAGGAGTCTGAAGGCAAGGATTGCAGTTTTAGCAGAAAGGGATGCAATTAGAATAACAGTGATGGATTAGCAAGGGTCCAAAGTAGATTGGGCCTAAATGTGGGCTTCTTCTTCTACCCGTAAACAGATGTGAACAGGTTGATTAATTTAAGGTGAACATCTCAGAACAACACTAAACACCAACTAAATGCAGCATATTCTTCCCATAAACAACACATGCAATAACAGATGTTCACTTTAATGCTTCCTGCTTCAATAAGACGGTGTTAAATTGTATGCCAATTAAAACCTCTAAATACAGTAAGAGTAATGCATTTTCAAATTCCTTATCAGGAGACAGATAAACAATTCAGAAAGTCCAACCCGGCCAAAATAATATGCTGAAAATGAACCATCTAAGGCGAAGTTATTAGCTATGATAAGAAGAATTCTTGTAGTACAAAGTCTCAAAGGGGAACCTTAAAACCATTCAACTAACCTCAAGCTGCTGCAAAATCACATATAAGCCACCCAAGAGTTTCTTTCTCACTATTTCAAAATCCATGGGATTCTCAATAATCTCATGGTAGTCCGGAAGCTGAAATCATAACAACATTTTCACAATAAAAAAACACGCATGACGACAACTAACATCACAATTTCACAAACTATTTACTAACACACTAGCCCTTATAAATAACAAGTTCACATAAGATCAAACACCTGAATCAGATCAAAACCTTAAAAAAAAAAAAAACCAACAGCAATAGTAATCAATCAACAATATGATAAATTAAATTGAAAAAAATATGGCAAGAAAAATCATACCAAGGAACCAAATTTATGGGCAGAATTAGATTCAAGAACTGGAGGAATTAGCACAGCATGACCAGACCACCTTTGATTAACCCGATACGAAGTGTTATAATTCTCAGTAATCACCAAAATTTTATCTTGATGTACACTAATCAACCAATTGTTCAAAAATTCAAAGTAAGGTTCACTAACTATACAAACAATGACAGTCACATTTCGCCCAACAAACGAAGTAGCTTCTTTGAGGGAGTAATTTCGCCATTTAGACTGAAAAGCGAAGTTGGTATTTGAGATAGAACAGAGGAAAATGCTACAAATTGACTACTCCGTACTTAGATAGCACGATTGTTATGAACAATAATCAACATTAAAATGTAATAATATAAATAACACAATTGTCTTCATCAAATTAACCCTAGAATTTCAAACTTCTTCAATTCAAATTGAATCTTTAAAATAAAGAAAGAGAGATTACTTAGACCAGATCTATGCAAAAGACATTGATAAAGGAAAGATTTGGAGGAGCGGAGAAGAATGCGACGGCGAAGAGAGACGATAGTGGTGGAGCCGTGGAGAGCAGGTGAAGCGTGAGGGTGACAGTGGGTCATGAGAACCTCGAAGCAGCTCCGGTGAGGATGACGGTGACTGGGAGAGTTGCGGCTGCTCAAAATCGGCTCAAAATTGCAGCCCTTATAGAAGATGAAGAAGAATGAAGAGGAGAGAGAAGCTAAGGTAGGTGAGACTGTGAGAGAGGAGGAGATTTCGAGGAAAGAGAAAAAAGATATTTCCTTTTTTTTTCATAGCATTCACACCGGTCTGCCGTGGCAATAGTCTTTCAGGTTTGTATTAGTACACCTAATGCAACGGCTTCTTAAAACCGTTGTGTTAGCTCCACCTTTTGATGTACAAAGTTTATGTCGTTGTATTAGGCTTATCTAATGCAACGACAATAAAATGAGCCGTTGCAATAGCTCGTTTTTAGCCGTTGCATTTGATTAAAAATGTAGTACTGAAATTCACTATTGGGAAGCAACACCTTCTTGCCACAAATAAGTAGACTAGGGCTTCATGGTTCGAAAGTTGTTAACACACTATCTTAGCATACTCTATCCTAGAATCAACTGAGCATATTCTCAAATCATGCACACCACCACCACTTTAGAAGAAAAACATTCGAGAATACAAGTCCGAAAGTATTATGTCCAAAGCAAGAACAAAACAAAACACAATGCAAATTTGCCTTGAAAGAAACAAAAATCTTTTTGGAGTTTTTCAAAATAAAGAACTCGGAAATGCATATACAATCGTGCATGGAATATATGAATCAACATCCCACCAAACATGATAGAATACCCTTCCCCAAGCTTGAATGAGACAACATGCTCAAACCATAAACCAATTAATCCATGAGAGGGGAAAAGTAAGGAATCAATCCAACAAACAAACACATGGCAACCAAGTCACTAAACATAAAAGGAAGAACAAGGAAAGATACTACTAGATATTAGTGGGTGTATATTGTAGGGTTTCGTAGTGACCCGACACTACGCGGAAGGAAACCCACCAAGACCCGCCCCTTAATTAAAACAATTAACAAGCATATTAAACTTAATCAAACAAGATTAAGAACAAGAATTATACCTTTGACGCGTGCTTCGCTCCCAAAGAGCTCTTACTTCAAAATCCCAAAAACACGAGATCTCCGACGGATCGTACCCTCGACCCGACCCGAGCGTCCTAAGTCTTGAAGGTTAGTCAAGACCCGGACAAAATAACTATGAGTTTTACGAATCAAAGGTTTACTCTTACTTAGAGTTGCCTTTTTAATTCCACTCAAGGTTATTCATTTCCCAATACCCAAGCTTGGTATTTATAGGGAAATGATCCCTTGATTTCCAATCTCCCATCAATGCGGGAGAGTTGGTAAAATAATAATTATTTAATTCCAAAATTAAATGATTAATCAATTCAATCACAAATCGACACGTGGCACAATAATAGAGAAAGCCAAGTGAGGACCAAGGCTTGGGGGGGGGGACCATTGCCTTGATCCCCAAGGCCTTGATTTGGTCCCCACACTATATGCACAAAATTGGGTCAAGGAGGGCTAGCTGGCTGCCAGCTAGCACCCCCTTGCTGCCCAGCACCCAGCCAGCCAGCTAGTGCATGCTGCTGCTGGGCTGTGCTGGTGCTGCTTGCTGGCGCTGGTGCGTGCTAGTGCCATGTGCTGGTGCGTGCTGGCGCTGGTGCTATGCCTCGCATCTCTCTCTCGCACCACTGCTAGCATGCCCAACATGCGTGCTGCTAGCGAGCCACGCATGCTGGCCTCTTGCCTTGCCAGCCATTCGCATCAGTCTCGCACACCATGCGCACCACGCATCTAGTCCCTCTCGCACGCAATGCCTAGCATGCGTGCTGCTAGCAAGCCACGCATGCTTGGCTTGACGCTGCTTGCTTGCTAGCTCTCCCTCGCATACATTTGCACAGCCACACGCATCAGCCTCGGCCTTGCACCATGTACTATGCATGCACAAGCCTCGGCCAAGCACCACGCACCACGCATGCGCCAGTGCTTAGCACTAGCTGTGCTTGGTGCGTGTGGTCCTGCCATGCGCCCAGCATTGTGCTAGGGTCGCGACGGCACTAGGCCATCCTAGGGCACACATGGTGCACCTAGAGATGCTTCCTGGGCTGCGATGGTGCCCAGCCATCCTAGGGCATGCATGGTGCGCCTAGTGATGTTGTATGGGCTGAGATGATGTGCTATGGTGCGCATAGCACTTGCGATGGGCTGCCTAGCACACCTAGTGCTTTTGGGCTTGCGCCTAGCCATGCTTGGTGCATGCTAGCCTGAACTAGCCTAGCATCCACATGGCTAGGCCAGTGTGGTGCTAGGGCTATGTTCATACTTGTCGCTTTGTGATTTCGCGACGCTAGGTCTCGACGCCCTAAGCTCGATATCCGACGTCTGTATACGTAAAACTCTGATGACTCATTAAATCCTTTCGGATTAATTCGTCGTCTCGGATCGGTGATTTGATTGGGTTTGACCCGAAGGGTTCAGTTAAGATTAAGCTGTAACATCAATTGTACATTGATATTACTGATCGGAAGCGGCTTCCACCTAGGCATTCCGATCACTTGACCTTACTGAAGAATTATCTCCGTAATAATTCTGAACCCTCTATCGGAAGAATACACTTGTTGGAAGGACACAATTCCTTTCAATCTCCCACTTGTCCTTCCGGACAAGTGTGCATATAGTGTATAGCCCATTTCCTATGTCACTTAATGTTTCTTCTTGAACTATAAGGTAAGATTCTTTGTCATCCTTATTACGTTCAGAAGTGTTTCTCGATCTCCGAGTTCGACTGTCAATAAGTAGATGATTTCTAAAATCCATCTGAGCACGGCCATGCATTTTCACAGTCTTGCTCTTCGAGCGGCCTTGTAAACAACAAAACATTTTTCCCTATTGTTAGTAGGGGGACAATCCCAGTCTTGTATTGTAAGTTCTTCTTACTAAGAGGACATAGTCTCCTAAGTGTTCCCATTATGATCCCCAGTTACGGCAGACGTTTGGAAACATCAAAGAGCCTAGTACTCAAACTAGAAAACTTCACAGTACTCATGGTCGGAGGAAACAAGTTCTGATAGTCATAATGAGAAATGTACTTATGACAAAATTTAAATTTTCTTAAAGTACTCTCATAGGTCTTATCCAGTTCAGTTCCAAACTATGCCTGTGCAAATGATTTATGACCGTCATGTCATCGCAGCACAAGAAACGGTGCCGTAAATCATACTACACACTAATCTATGGCGGTCATCAATCATCCATCTGTTAGATAACCTCGATTAGGGACAATTTTCTATTTAAATATTCAACGTTCACTTAACAGGTGTTTCTTTATCCAAGACATGGTCTTGATACCCTGTTTTGAATATTTTCGTAAATCGAATGGACTCATTATTTAATTCTAAACCACAATTAAATAGTAATGGAGTGAATGATAATTTTGCACAAAAATTAATTACTCCATTAATGAATGGTTTTAATACAGTGTCTTACATTAAATATCCTATTTAATTAAAACACATGTACAGGGAATTTCAAAGCCAGTCTCCAACATGCTTGATTCCCATCGCCTCAATGTGCTTGTTGTGTTTCACTTGAGGCAGCGGTTTAGTCAAAGGATCGACTACATTATCATCTGTGCCGATCTTACAAATTCTGATTTCACCTTCGGATTTCCATTCCCTTATCATGTGAAATCGCCTTTGCATGTGTTTGACCTTCTGGTGCTCTCTCAGCTCCTTGGCCTGAGCGATAGCTCCATTGTTATCACAATAGAGGTCTATCGGCCCCTTGATTGAGGGTACAACACCAAGTTCGCTAATGAACTTGCGAATCCAAACAGCTTCCTTGGCAGCTTCTGAAGCGGCCAAGTACTCGGCTTCAGTTGTAGAGTCTGCAGTGGTGCTCTGTTTGGCACTCTTCCAGCTAAACGCTCCTCCATTCAGACAGAATATGTACCCCGACTGTGACTTGAAGTCGTCTCTGTCAATCTAGAAGCTAGCGTCGGTGTAACCTTCAACAACCAGTTATTTGTGGCCTCCATACACCAGGAATTTATCCTTGTTCCTTTTCAGGTACTTAAGGATGTTCTTGGTCGCAGTCCAATGCGCCTCTCCAAGGTTCGATTGGTAACGACTCGTTGCACTCAGGGCATACGATACATCTGGCCTTGTACATATCATGGCATACATGATCGATCCGATTAGCGAAGCATATGGGATCTGATTCATTCTTTCTCTCTCAACAGGTGTTTGTGGACACTGCTTCTTGCTGAGAGGTACGCCATGGGCATGGGTAAATGCCCTCTTTTGGCATTCTCCATGTGGAATCGAGCTAGTACCTTATCAATGTAAGTACTTTGGCTTAATCCAATCATCCTCTTAGATCTATCCCTGTAGATCTTGATGCCCAATATGTACTGTGCCTCTCCTAAGTCCTTCATTGAAAAACACTTTCCCAACCAGCCCTTCACGGACTCCAACAATTTTGTGCTGTTTCCAATGAGAAGTATGTCATCGACATACAGGACTAGAAATGCAATATCACTCCCACTGACCTTCTTGTATACACAAGACTCATCTGGATTCTTGATAAAACCAAACTTGCTAATGGCTTCATCAAATTGCAGATTCCAACTTCTGCTGGCTTGCTTTAGTCCATAAATGGACTTCTTCAGCTTGCAAACCTTTCCAGCATTGCCTGGATCGACAAAACCTTCTGGTTGTGTCATATACACAGTTTCTTCCAAAATTCCATTAAGGAAGGCGGTTTTGACATCCATTTTCCATATTTCATATTCGTAATATGCAGCAATCGCTAGGATGATCTGGATAGATTTTAGCATTGCAACTGGTGAAAAAGTTTCATCATAGTCAATCCCGTGGACTTGTCTATAACCTTTTGCCACCAGTCTAGCTTTGTATATTGATACATTTCCATCATTGTCTGTCTTCACTTTGAAGATCCATTTGCAACCAATGGGTGTATAACCCTCGGGCAAATTCACCAAGTCCCAAATTTGATTTTCAGACATGGAGTCCATCTCGGATTTCATGGCCTCTTACCATTTTGCAGAGTCGGGGCTCGTCATAGCTTGCTTGTACGTCGCCGGCTCATCACCATCCATGACTAGGATGTCCTGGTCATCGGTTAAGACGATACTGAGGTATCTATCTGGTTAAGATCTTTGCCATTGCGACCTACGAAGGGTAATCGGTTGAGCATTTTCATTGTCTGTTTGATTCTGACCAATCTTCTTAGATGCTTCCAAAGTATCTAGATTGTC